TTAGGATGCTGGAATGACTGGCTGACGAGCACTAATAAGCTGGAAACGGCTAGATTCGTCTCCCTCGGCCTTCTCGGCATTCCGTCCAAAAAATGAGATGTTCTGTTAATATCAGCTACCAGTCAGGGGTATTGACTTCCTCTGCCCTGACGGAAGGCTTACGTTTTTCTAAGGTAGTTCAACTATCATCGGGTTAAATTTATTTTCAAATGTTTGAGGGTGGCGGATGTTGACATTCTAACACCTGTCAGCTGCCAAGTGCACGTTAACATCGACTGTAATCAGAGAACTTATCAAGTTGAACGTTCGTGGAGAAGTGATTACGCGACATACAGTCCCCTCGACTGGAAAATTTATAATGTTATACCGCCTAGACAAGCTAGCCTGCTTTTGACTAAGTTGCTGATGAACGTAATATGCTCATGCACAACGAGATTTCACGTCGTTGCACTGTCAGTAATAACAGTGAAGCTGCAAATTTTTCTATCTACCGACCGGTTAGATAACTGGCCTCCGCACGCAACATGTCGTTTTACATGACCATAGTAACTTTATACTTCTTCTACTCGAATTTGGAGCATGTAACTGGTTCTTTAGCATACGCGAATCAGAAGAAGATTTTCTGGCTACTTTTTTTTTACATTTTGAGTCATTTATTTCACGATCGCTAATTTGATGTGCAGATATGCTAAGAGACTGGTATCGGATAATGAGAGGCCATGAACTACCTGATTTAAATTGCAACCAGTCCTATTCCTTCGGGGAATAAACTAAGTCTTAATCCGAACATATAATTGTTTATGTGTATGGAGTCTATAGCAGTGCCAACGCTGAATTTGTCGGCTGGGCCTTGAATACCGTTGGTCGACTTCTTAACGGTTCAGTTTTTTGCAGTGTTCGTGCCTAGTGCAATATGTTTGCCGTTTCTGAATATGTCAAAAGGAAATAGCAAGAGTGGCCAGCTATTTAAAGTCATTCATTCATATGCCCATCGTTTGGACCGTTCACCTCGAGGTATTATGTAGCAAACTTATGACTTCAGTTCAAACCCTCAATTTCTGTTTCAGCAGCTGTTTAATCGTCGCATTAGAACTGGTGGCGGTAGTTTAGCATACATAAAAAGGACGCATTATAAAACCTCGCCTATATCAAGTCTCATATAATGTGCGTGCATCACACAACGCTTAATTCAAAGTACACTTGCAAGGGATCCAAATTTTCCCACAAAACTTGATTTCCTAACGAGGCGGCACCCGAAAGCGGTTGCCTTTGTTCTTCCTGTTGTTGTGCGCTCGTTGATGTTGTTTTCGCGAATAACACCTCCTCGTGCCTGGGTAATTTTCAGACATGCTTCGCCATTCGGGTGGATTTGTCCCCGCAGTAGCCAGTTTGCTGATGATTTCATGTCGGTCAAGAAGATGGGGAGGGGGACGGAGTGTCTTCGTTAGTCCCTCCCTATCCACCCCCACCTCTTCTGTTCGATCACCCACCAAGATCGGATAATCTTCTTCCAAATAGTAGGTTGTTAAGGAGAAGCCCAATGTTCTGAAACTTGTTCAACGCCTGCTCCTCATAAGTGCCTCACAGGGAGGGACTCGTGGACGAAATCTTGTTTGTTTTTCTCAAAGGTTGCAATGAAAAGGTCAATGACCAAATCGACGTGGCGGTAGAAAAAAATAACAAAGAGTGGGTAAACGCATCGGCGAGATAAGGTTAGAGAGCAATCATTATATGGCAGTCCCACAACTGACGGGTGACATAATACGGTCTACAAAAATACCAACAGTTTTACTTGTCGTCGCATAGTTAGCCGGAACAGTCTATAATCACTCGTGATTGAAGAAGAAGAAGAATAAGAAGAAGAAGAAGAAGATGAAGAAGAAGAATAAGAAGAGGAATTGGCACTTTCTCTTGTAATGTTCTACTTAGTCCCTGCCAAAAGAATGCTAGCCCATTCAGGCATTATAGTTTTCTGTTGGGGTATTAATGTAATGTGAAATAGCATTTTAATGATCTGGTCTCATAACCGCATGCTGGACGCTCAAATTAGAAAACAAGTTACACAACAGCCAAAAGATCTAGCACAGTATCAGACATCGTTCGAACCTAAAGTACATGTTCTGTGTCGCTTGAGGTCAAGTGAACTTCCTATACCTAGGATTAGCAAAAGACTAACATATTCTTGCTTATGATGTGTGTGCCGATAAGTATGAATCATCAGGACTTCAAAAACGCCATAAAGGAGCAAAATAAATCAATTTAAAGATGGCAAAACAGCAAATTCGCACCTGCGCAAGGTTGCTTTAAAATAAATCAAATCTTCCGCGAAGACTACTGAGGTCAGTTTGTTAATGTCGCTCGAACAATCTTGGGCCAACTTTCTTCAAACTGGCTGACTTTATACATACAACTGGACACTCTCCGAGAGTAACAGTGCTGCCGCAAACCACAATAGAAAAAACGATATGCGTTTCGTCGTCAGATAATTGCATGATCAATGCCATTAAATGTGCGCGAGAATGCACACGACCTTCGTCAGCCCCACGAAGGCTTCATTTTTTCTTTGTGTTAGTCGGCATTAGTTAGCAGATAGGAAACTATTTTTAAGTCTATGGCTCTGGATGAAATTTGAGAATTATGAGAAGTTGTTCAAAGTGTGATTTTAAGCCGAAACTATTGCACGACATGGATTCATAGGTTAATATCGTGGATAATGCGCGCCCGCTACTGAGTAATCACCGACATTCCGGCTTCTGACAAAGCATCGTGTCAGTCGCGTGAGCAATTGGCGCTCGGAGAGAGTACGTATTTTTTACCACTGACTCAGTAAGGCTATATTTGCTCAATATTACCACTCCCTTAGAAAATAAGCCCTGAAAGTTTAAATTTTCGTTCCGGGATAAGTAGAATGAGGCATAATTTCCTACTTTTAGAATTCTAATTTTGAGAGTTCTTTGCTAGCATGTTTTAAAATGAAGTCAATTTCAAATTTAGTATGCTATGAACACCGGAAGGGCTCTTACTAGCAAATTGGTGAGATAAATGACTTTGCTTTGGAAAGAATACACTGCAGTAATGTAAAACACGTAGGCTCTGGTCAGAGACCCACAGGAATGAAGTCATTTTTTTCAAATCGAAATCCCGTTTTCTTCTGATCAGACGGTTTTCACATCGAAGACTTTCATACAAGGATGCTGCTCAAAGCCCGAGATCGGGTATGACGAGGGTTCATAAGGCAGGAATGGCTATTCCAGTCTCGCATTTTTGTTGATACGAATTCTTGGGCGAATGACTCCTTATTGTGCTTTTTTCTCGATACTTATTCTTTCTACAGCCCAATGCGTGTTTCTCGCGATACTTATTCTTTCTATCTGTGCGGTCATATTTCTGAAAATAGGTGATATCAATCGTTGGAAAGTTTCACCTCGTCCTTTTCACTGAGTGAACTGTTTACCTGGCCAATGAAGGAAGAGAAACCTGCGTGATCCTAGGAAATAGGCCAACTGAAGCAGATAACATACATCAATTCCAAAATAAATTGCTTGGTTAAAGTGATTCTGCTCATCTGTTTTTTTTAGTTCCACTTTTTTCGAATACCTGCTGACTGTTGACCTGGCAGTGAATAACGTAGAACATATTTTCTAAAAAGGCAGTAGGGGGGGTCGAGCACCGACGAGGAGGGGGTATTTTAGCAGCTTTAGTTCATATTATGCAGTGATAGGTTTTCGCAGAGCATTATTCCCTTACTGTCGAAATCTGGAGCTGTTCTATATCTCCCTTCTAGGATTATCTGGAATTTATGGGACAACGGACGGATTCGCCGGTCCGCGGAAGCCGGATGAAGGCGAAACAGAGATGGACGTCGCTTCTCTGGACCACTTAGTGGACGGAAACAACCCAAAACACGCCTCTACTCTGTCACTCGCATCCTCTAAAAGAAAACCTCGGATCCTCTTCTCTCAAGTTCAGGTCTATGAGCTGGAACGACGGTTCAACCAACAGCGTTACTTATCGGCACCGGAACGGGAACAATTGGCGCTTCTGCTGAAGATGTCATCGCAACAGGTCACTGTCATTTAACTTACCTGTGTAGACTGGTGGGACTCGAATGCTATTGCGTTTTATTTTAACCATAATTGATTCCAGGCACTTCGTTGGTCACGGTTGACGAGGGAGACTGGGGTACTACGGAACAGGGGTGATTTTCGTGTAGACTGAGTTATGACAAGGGCGGTTTCAGTTGTATCTACTTCGCTATCTCCGCTCGCGGCAGTCATGTCCTACTGGCTAGACTTGGTCAAGGTATGTACAACTGAACTTGGGTGAAATAAATGAAAACACGTTTGTTCTGTCAATTAGCACAAATTACACCTTCACATCTCGGATAACGCAATGGTTAGAACTATGGCAAGGTGCATTAAGGTCGACCGAAGACCGATTATATAGTCCGGTAGAAGAGGGTACATGCTTGCATTTTCAGTATGATAAGTACGGACACAATTGGCAGATCAGTCAAATACCGCAATTCTACTTCAAAGCACGGACACTGCTCTGCTTAGAGACTGTCAACTTACGAACTTTCGTATATACGAATGTAGAGTACCGCAGGCTCAATTTGTGTCCACTGGACTCCAGAAAGTTTTAGGATGATGAAATGTGTGCACTGACTTACTACAGTAGTCGCCGGCTATTAAGCCCACGGCTAACAAGCCCAGCCGCGTATTAAGCCCACATCGCTTGGGACGGAATTTTACATAGCAAAATCAGCCGGCTAATAAGCCCAATCGCCGGCTAATAAGCCCAGTCGCCGGCTACAAA